ATAAAATAATTATCAGGAAAACAAGTGAAATTCATGTACCGCTCAAACAGGCTTATTGACTGAAAAAGTGTTGAATTGCAAAGCATGCTGGCCCAGCGCTTGGACTGCATCAATACTGGCACCACTGCATGTTAGCAGTTTAGCACATGATCCCTCACTGATATATATAAATGATTCACAAAAAAACATCTGTTGTAAATATTAAATTGGTTTGAAACAGAGACATATGTATATATTTACCTATTTTCAAATGAACCCAGTCGCACAGGAACACACTGGACTCGCCACTGTTGGTTCATGTCTCGATAAATCACAAACTTAATCTTTGGATCAATGGCACATTCCTCTTCAATAGACAAAAGGTGATCTTTCCATGGACAACCTCCCTCTTTTAGATTCACAATTTCACCACTAGGATCCACCTGGAAGTTTTTGGAAATATTGACAGTGCATATGTTATTAATTTTCTTCATATAAAATGCCTATACATAGTATTTTGTTTTGGTCATCAGTTCTAAAAATATATACAACAACTTATCAAAGGTTTGAAATGTTTCTAACCTCTTACTCCTCATGGTTGAAGTAATTCATAATCGATTTACTTGCTCTGAGTGAAGATATTCTTTTCTCAGATTGCCTTTGAATCCCACTCAAAACCCCTTCCACTATTACAAAAATGAATCTAGCATTTACACACTGCTCTGGATACCAATATCATCCAAAATTTAAACACTGAACTTTATTTGCATTCAACTCGAGACTAGAATTAAACCCATCTTTCTATTAGCAATTTCTTATTGAGTAATGTTTAATACAAAAGTAGTGTATAAATAAAATCAGATAATACTTCAGAGGGTAAGATTATTAATTCTTTTTTCAAGTGCATAAATGTGCATGGTTATATTTAGAACGACGGGGAATATTTACACTTAATTAAAACAATGCTAGTTTAACAGCAATCATATATTTCAAAGTAATATCTTGAACATAAATCTTATCTCAAAATTTTAAAAATTAAAACAAAATTTCTTCATAAACAACATTTGTGTGCATAGTTTCCAAAAATACAATATTACAAGCGTAGCAACAAGTAAATTTAGTAATTAATAAAACTTGAAATTTAGTTAATTTATTAGAACCAAAACAATGTTTCAAAAAAATAATACAATAGTCCCACAGATGGGAGACAAGAACACAATCAAAAAAATAGATGGCCATATGACTCATATAACATACAATGAGGTCAACCACTAACTTCCTACCCTTGAACCCTCTACATCTCACTGACCATAAGAAAAGCATGGTTGTTTGAGAAACAATCCAGTAACTTTCATACTTTGACCTTGAATCTCTTTAGAATATTCAACACTGTCTAAAGCATCAACCTGCCACGATTGTTTGAGAATGACTCAATAGACTGGGAGTAATTAACAGACAGGCTTTAAAAAATAGAAATAGAGTTAAGTTCAATTTTGACCCCCTTAGGACATTCCCCATAGTTCAGTGTTTACATACACATTTTAGTTGAGATTGGGCCAATAGGCTCGGAGGAGTTAGGGTGCAAACAAACACACATTTTAACTTTATATATAGTGATGGAGTTTTTATGTATTATATGTATGCTTAAATAATGATGAGAATAAGAGATCAAATATTCAACAAAGAGCTGCTCTGTTCACTAATAGTTCTATCGTCTTACATTCTTCAATTTTCTAAAAAGCCATAGCTGGACATCATCCCTAAATCAGCATAATAAATGTTTTTTTACACACTGAACCAGGGAGATTTTTTCTCTTAACTTTTATTAAAGCACAAACTAAATATGCATATTTTTATCCATTGTAATGTGGTAAGACAGTTTTATACAGCTAAGATTTTTTTCATAATTTACGTATGCACTGCTGTGCAGAAATCAGAGACCGCTATTTAGTCTCCTGTGCAAAAGTTGTCTAGTATAGTTACCCATATAAATATCAGACACCTGGGTTAAGTATGAAAAACCAAATGTTATTGGCTATAGGGTAAGAATTATTAATACTACTGTTAAATATAGCAATAATGGCAATCTAAAACCTATATTTGCTTAAGTATCTTCTAAATCACATGTTTGGTTTAAATGAATTCTATAAACACGAGAAGTGAGTATGTCTGAACTGACAACAGTTATGTTTTTGAAAACTTAGACATGATGCTTTTAGATGTTGTAATGCTGTAGCTACTATAGTGATATCCAACATCAAATGATATTCCACACTTATTAATTTTCTATTGTAAAAGTATTTTAAAAAATTGTCTTTGATCATTAGAGTTATTAATTGTTTTTGTAAAAAGAAGATAAACTTCCCTTTAGCCTGTGACTCTAATATGCCTTTTACTTTCAATATAAAATTATGGTCCAAGAAGAACAGTTACTGATGAAGTAAGCTTTATATATTGAGGGCTACAGTCAAGTGAAAATTTCTGCTTAAACAAAAGCATCAAAAAGTAAAATCCAGTGAATAATCAGAAGACAATAAAACTGGTACCACTGAAGACAAGAGCAAGCCCAGAAAAACCACTCATGCTTTCCAGGTAAGAAGTACCTTATGCTTACTTCACTAAAAGACAGGCATAAATGTAGCAGCTGTCTTGCTGCAGAACTTCAAGAAACCACTAGTGTTAAAGTTCACCCTACCACAGCGCAACACAACTTGTGTCAAGAAGTGCTGAAAGAGTACATTACAGCAATAAAACCTATGTCCCAGAAAGGCAACAAACAGAATACACTTAAGTTTGCAAAAATCCAAATAATTGGACAACCTTTATGTAGAAAAGAGTTCTTTAATATGATGAGTCAAAGGTTGAGATTTTTGGAACCAACAAATGCCAGCACATTCACTGCAGGCATGATGGAAGATTAAAAGCAAATTGTCTGTAGTCTTAAGCATGGTGGAGGTAGCATCCAAGTATGAGGCTGTTTAACCAGAACTGGATACTGCCTGATATCAGCAACTATTCATTAACCATGATGTTCTTTCTGGAAGTTTACATAGTGGATTGTATTTCATTTTCCAGTGACCTAAGTACTGTTGAGTGTGTAGGGGGACTATCTTTATAGAAAAAAACAGCAAAGGCAACCAAACCCAAAGAAGAAATTCCAAACAGTACTTCAAGATGCCTTGAATTCAATTCCCACTGATTATCTCAAAAACTTCCAGAAAGCATTGTTCACCAGCTTCAGACAGTGATTTCATTTAAAGTTGGTAACACAAAATATTAAAGAAATATACTCTAAATTTCTTTATATGCATCACTTACCTTGCCTTCAGACATTATGAAATTCTGAAATACCCATTCTAAAAGGAAGTCAGCATGTTTTCAATTTAAAATACATGGTGGTGATTAGAGCTGGGAGATTAATTCAATATAATAAGTTAACTTTGAGCATCAATTATCATAATGTATAATAAATAAAAATTAGTGTTTCTAATTACAACTGTTTTTGATTATTCCAACAATTAAAGTTTCATGTGAGAATAATTAGTTAGTTGAGTGTAATTGATTAATAAACCTGACAATTAATTGATTATCAAATTCAACTAATTGCCCAGCTCTAATGATAATTGAGTGGTCTCTAATTTATGAACAGTAATGTACTTTGTATGTAATACAGTTTTATTCCAAAATCAGCTTATCACCACATAACTGATATTCCCCAATGATATTTTGGTAGTTGTATCTTCTTCAATCAGTTCTGTAATCTTGTTATTTAGTAAAATATACTTAATTATGTCTTATGACAATTACAAAATAACAAATTAGCATATACTGAAATGTGCATATTGTGCTAACACATACATCCATAAAAATACAACTGAGTTTACAAATGACAACTGTGAAAAATAAATACACAAGATGGACAAAAGAAATAAGCAGTAGTCAGCACATAAATGAAACTGACCTACAGTTTTAAAGATGAAATTTTAAAAAAGGAATATCAGTGTAATGTTAAATGCCTATCTTTTGTGTTCAACAGTTAGGTAATTGTTTTAAAACAGGAGGGTTTATGTTAGCTTACAAACTTTTTCACTATCACTTATAAAATCTCTATTTCAAATCTTCTAATAATAAATTTTGTATGCAGTAAATGTAATGTTTTTCTTCCTCAACTAAGACACTTTAATCTAGTATTGCTGAAGAATATGCTTTATAAATGTAACAGAACTAAGAAGATTTTGAAATTCACAAAACCTTTCAGTTGTAGCTTGTCACTGACAATACCACAAAACTAGTTAGTACTTTACAAAAATTTATAAATCTTTCAAGATCATGATTTGAGTATGAAAAAAATCAGCTTTCTACGACTAATATTAACATGAGAAAGTATGCAGAAGTGAAATAATACTAACATCATTAATATTATTTTTTTCATGTTGCAAACATATAAAATTGTGATGTCTTAGGTTCATCCAAAACTAGCATTTTGTTTTGTCTTTTTTGGCAAAAGAAAAATCAAATAATTAGTTTTAAAATGAAACTGGCATGCAATGTAAGAAGTGAACTGCAAATAACATTTATTGTTATTCATCACTTTTTATAGGTACAATTGTCTCATAATTGGAAATGTATTCATTTAAAATTTTACTTTGTATACAATTCTGTAAATAATACTAGTTCAAAAATAGATGTTACAAATAAACTGACTTATGAAATCCAAAGTATATTTCTGATCAGTAAACTCCAAGCAAACAACATCTGGTGTCAAGCAATTATTACAATAAAGCTTCACTCACCAGCAAGACTTACTCATTGTGAATGGCAAGTACCACCTGAACATAAGGAAAGCTACTTACTACCAACTAGGCTTGTGTTGCACTCGACTGGATACAGCCACATCAGTAATTAACATGTTTGTGAATGAAAATGGCCAAATATCTTTGCATCCTCTTCCCACCCACACTTTCTATCCTGCATCCAGAGGGACAGTGATTTTTGCATTTATTCTACCTTACACTAATGAAGTTATTGCAACATCGTTGTTTCAAAACAATGTTTAACACATATCAATATCAGCTGAATAAATTAAATATTATATGCTGGCAATACTTCTTGCTTTAGTGACATTGAGGAACCATGCCTTACAGAAACATAGGTGTTATGATGACACTAATGTTATAGGAAAATATTTTATAACCAGTAAGACTGAATGGATAACAAAACCGTATATAACAGTTATTAAGTACTGTGTTTTTTATAAAAATTCAAACACATCTGAAATTCTAAAAGCTAATAGTTATTCAGGAGTAAATAGCTCATTGCATGAGATCTTGACAAGTTTTGACAACAAATACACTAATACTTGGGGTTAGATATGTGAAGGAAACAAAATCTCTTTAAAATAATTATCAAACACACTAAGACTACCATTTTTCCTGTTCTTAATGGCTTCTTCAACTAGTAGTCTAGCTGGCCACAAAACGTTCCCTTTAAAATAATTAACAAACACACTAAGACTAACATTTTTCCTGTTCTTAATGGCTTCTTCAACTAGTAGTCTAGCTGGCCACAAAACGTTCCCTTTAAAAAAAATCTCTTTAAAATAATTATCAAACACACTAAGACTACCATTTTTCCTGTTCTTAATGGCTTCTTCAACTAGTAGTCTAGCTGGCCACAAAACATTCCCTTTAAAATAATTAACAAACACACTAAGACTACCATTTTTCCTGTTCTTAATGGCTTCTTCAACTAGTAGTCTAGCTGGCCACAAAACATTCCCTTTAAAATAATTAACAAACACGCTAAGACTAACATTTTTCCTGTTCTTAACGGCTTCTTCAACTAGTAGTCTAGCTGGCCACAAGACATTCCCGTAATAAAAAACTTTATCCTTAAACTCATTGCCTGTCAGTTCCATAGCTTTCTTAAATCCTTCCTGAAAACAGAAAAAAAAATTCTCAATCAAAGTAGGAAATTAGCAAATACATTCTTTTGCATCATGATGAGTGTATGTTGTTAGTATGTAATAATCTTTCATATCAACAAGATATTAATATTATGAGAAGTTCTCAAGATGAAACTTTTAAGACAAGCATAGAATATATCTACATCTGGATTACCACAAACTTATGTTACAAGGATATGAATGTCTTAATCTTCAAATTACTGATTCATTTACATAAAATTAATTACTAATGAGGCTCAAATATTGCATCATATTATGTAATTTTACAATTTTGCCGGTCACAATATTCATTGTAAAGAACTAATAAAAAACAGGAAACTACTAATTTTCTATGTAAAATACAGAGGAAATTCTGGCATAATTGAGGGGGTTAATTACAATACAAACAATATTTTTCTTTGAATTTTTCATGTCACTCATATGGTATGAGGGATCTTGTAGCCAACAAAGTCATTGTCCCACAAGTACTCTTGTGCATAAAAAGTTTACAAAAATGTGTTTGAAAATCCAACAAAGTCCATGTGGAACCATCAGTAATTCTTTGTTCAATGAACTGTGGCAGCATTAAATCATTCAATATTTGAAGTCAAGATCAAGTTCTTGCATACGGAGAGCTGCTTTTTTTTATTAATATTACTGAGGAGTGTCCATTATTATTAATGATCTTAGCTAAACAACAACAGAATTAGGACTGATTTTTTTTATAGTTTTGAAACTTTTATAAATTTAATTATCTCTATTAAAGCATTTAATAAAAACGAAATTTATAGTAAAGTAATCTTTACTATATTTCAACAAACATGCAAGATTGTTTGTTTGTTTGAAGTTAAGCACAAAGATACACAATGGGCTATCTGTGCTCTGCCCACCACAAGTATCAAAACCTGGTTTCTGGAGTTGTAAGTCCGCAGACATACCGCTGTGCCACTGGAGTGGGGGCAAACACGCAAGTAAGTGCTTAATAATGGCAAATTAATTTAACTAAAGATTTCTTTAATGCTGCTTATTCAAATTTAATTTCACTTAACTAAAAATTCAATTACATTTGAAGTTTTTCAATATAAGTTTTACAGACAGTATAAGCGAAAATCATAAGTATCACAATTTACAATTAAATTTTTTCACTGATAACAAAATATCTATCTTTTTTTTTTTAATATCAACAACACGAATAAGTTTTCTGGTTAACTACAAGCCTAAACCATTTTATTTACATTTTTTCAATTTGAATCTTGCATTTGTAACTCATTAATGTTTTTTTTTAATACACATTAGATCAATTATTCTACTGAGTTAATATGTAATAATCAGTTTTCACCAGGAGGAGTGTACTATTGTCAGAACAACACTCTGGTATCTGAAATTGTAATAATCAGTTTTCTCCAGAGGGGAGTGTACTATTTATTTGTGTTGAGAGAACATAAGGTGTGCAATCTATTATAAAAGTTAAAGGTGTTAATTATTGTTACTAAAACTGAAGTAGAAGAAGACTAAAAGTATTGTTTATATAGTATCCAGTTTTTCTTTTTTCCCTGCTGCTTACTTTAAAGAAAGTCGAGCTGGAGTTGTTTTCTCACAGTAGTATATACATATTCAATTTATTATCAATGTAAGTAGTTTCATATAATTAGTACTGCATATATTTTCTTTATTTAAGATGAATTCACAAAAATGGAAATTAGGCACTGAATATTAGATATTTACCCCGATGGTGACACCACATGTCTGACAAGTTTTGTCATGGCTCTGGCACTATAAAATTAGCACTACACTATTGGTTTATTCATCACAAGTTCTTCTTAAAAGTTTTGACTTAGCAATAGTTAAACTCTCTTTTGATAAACATTCAGAATATTTACACCCTAAAAAAAACAAAACAAATATTCTAACTTCTCTACTCTGTACTTTTCAATATGAAGGTAAGGTATCAAAATGTAACTTTTAAAAACACATGTAGGAATATCTAACTACTGTTTAGGATACTATATATATATGTGTGTGTATATAGACATAATGATGTGAATTCATTGGCTTATATACAAATTAGATGAAACTAATTTGTTTCCTATTAAAAAATTGAATTAAATTTTTTTTTTAAAATGTGCTGAAAATGTTTAAAATAAAAACAAATTTCTTAATCTAAGTTACCATATAAAAATCTCAACCTGACAGTTTTTCACGGCCTACATAAAGGCTCAAAATTTAAATTTGGTAATAAATTATTTACAAGTAATCAGTACTTAATGCTATAACTTTGACAATTATCTTACTTGAAACATATGTCCTTAATGTTACAATTCCTCTTATATATCCCCTTGATGCTTAAATTACTTCAACCTAAAATACTGATATTTACAATTCTTAAACTTACATCCTTGATGTATACAGTAATTAAATCTACATCTTTAATGTTTTCATTATGTAAACCTATGTCCTTGATGGTTATACTACTTAAACTCCCATTTTGTATGTTTACATTACTCACGTCTGTATCCTGGTTAAGACTATTCCATGGTGGGTTCAGGTAACTAACACGAGAGCTCAGGTGAGTACTAATGTGATATCTAAAAGAAAATAAAGTCCAAGTATTACAGATTTCATGCATATGGAGTTACACAAATGCATACTTATGCATACATATACAACACCTAGAACATAACAAGATCATAAACTGAAAGCAATATGAAAACACTGTACAAATACATTGAACGGATGAAACTTATATTTACAATAACATAAAAAGATATGGTTCTTGAGTTGTGATTTTATACAATGTGATTCTCTGTCTACTTGTTATACAATATTAATGCCAGGAAACACTGTTTTTTACATTGCATAACTATATATAAAAAATCATTGACTGAAAGTATAAGATGATATGGTAAACATCACACTAACTTTTACAGGAATGTTTCTGTGATCAGTAACAATATGCAACACCTTCTATACTCAAAACCTCCTGTACAACAACTATTATCCAAGATAACACTTTCACTTATAAATTCTTATTAATAATTACAAATGTAGTCTTTTCACATTGACACTGTGGTTGCTCGACTCATATGGAGTCAAGAAGACTATGCTGCTGTTTCATCATTGCTTCTAAATAATAAAACATCAATTCACAAAAATAATAATATATGGTGCTAAAATAAATAAATAATATAGTGATAATAAAACCTTACATAAAAAGAAGTGATGACAAATTACACTCCACCAACTTAACCCAGTTCACCCCACAATAGCTGTTGTCAAGAAATTTGCTTACATAAATAGCACTTAAATAAATACTATGTCTGTCATATCCAACCCACCTGAAAAGCCCTTCAGTCCTTTTTTTCTGAAATTTAAAAAGTTACCAAACAAAAAGCTTATATGGAATAAAATTCTAATTATTTTTCTTGAAATTATAGCTCTTAAGTCTTAAATAAAATGAGACATTGTTAAAAGTATAACTGTAAAACAAGCATGTACTACTGGTATATTCCCTATTTCTAATGATGTGACCTAAAGTCAGTTTATATAGCAACTGGTTCTTCACTATTTTAAATCTCTAAGTTAAATACCTTTGAGCTGAGAGGCACAGCTACTAGAAAACAACAATGTACATGTAGAGAAAAATGACAACAAAAAAAGTGGCAACTGAATAACCTTGGTTGTTCATCATGGGTTGATATTCCATTATCAATAGCATCAATCTCTTCCATGAAGTTCTCATACATTTTGTCATAAATTTTTGTGGTTTTTTCATCTTGGCTGTTGGTTCCAAGTAACTGAGCAATAACCTTGTGACCAAAGTGAAAGTACACAAGTCCTGCACTACTTAGCTTTGTAATCCATGGTTTCTTGGGGTTCAGACTGTGCATGCTCTCACTGAAACTTCTACAGGAAAAAAACATGGGCTATTATTACACATTTTAAATACCTATAACACATTACTGTAATGGCAAACTGCATCAAACTTAGTATAATGTTTCATCACTAAATATGAGCTGATTTCCATAATCAACAAATAAATTATTTTCCCCATACAAATATTATTTCTGAGCAGTTTTTAATTGTACTACAATGGTAGAAAAAACGTTTAAAACTAAGAATTTAAAAAAATATAATATCACTCTTCTTATTCTTTAAATGTTTCCAAATGTACCAAATTTTTTCTAATGTCATATTAATAGATCTTTTTGTAAGTGTATTAAAGCACTCCTGATTCGCTGTTGATTCTTCATATTTCATGTATAAATTACACCTGTTCAATTAGCTTGATCTAGCAAGTCCTTCTGGTGCAAGCATGTTCTCCCATTAACCACTGAATTCTATAACTGACTGGCACATTACACTGTATTTGTGTTCACAGCAAAAAATTAGCTTAAATATGAAAATCTTGGTTCATAGTTGTTTAAAGTATGTGGAAATAAAGAACTTTTTCGTGATTTAGATACATATCACTAATTCATCTTGGGGTTCAAGACTGGACTACACCTAAAAAAAAAAGAGTGAAGTAAATGAAATAAATTACTTCCTAGTGAAATGAAATGTAAAAGAAAAACTTTGTTTATATATTTCTGTACATTACCAAGCAATAAACACACTTTTGTTGCTGAAATAAAGTGGTTTCTGGCTTCATAAGTATACACATGTTTTTAAACCAAAGTTGAAAGAAGTTTTAAAAGTAATATTATGGCAACCAAGACACATTTATACAGGTAGTGTTTTAAACACCAGCACACTCTCCACCCAACTACAACTGATGTGAACTAAATGGATTGGTAATGGAAAGTTATTATTAAAGGTAATAATTTATCTTTGGAAGATCAGATCCATATGATCATAAAACTATTTCTCTTCTATAAAGCTACATGTATTTGAATTGGTTTTCCTGATAATATGATAGGTGAAGTGTTAAATACTTTCAAACTTTTATTGCAATATAGATGTGAACTTGCAGAAATGTTAATGGATAGTGTTTTGGGCAAACCCTGAATATCAAGCTAAATCCTCTCCAGAATAATGAATATATTCAGTTGCCAGGTAGTTCACATATTTGTTTAAAAAGTTTCATTACCTTCACAAGACATACTATAGAAACTACAGATAATCTGAATCATCATTCAAATTAAATCTGCATGATCAGGAAGCTTACCTTTGATGATGATCATACCGATGAACTGTAGGGTCATAAACTCCACCAACATCAACAACAATATCACAGTCTTTTAACAAATCTTCATCACGTGTTCTATAAATTATATGAAAAGAATTATATGCATTTTTCACAAATTCCTATAAAGCAACAAATTTACAAAATTTATAACAGCATATTTATTCATAGTAAATTAACCTTATGTTTAATGACAATGACCAAATTACTTTAAAAATTAATATGATTTGTAAATATTTATTACAAAGACAGTATTGCCACATACCAGCTCCCAGCAGCTGGGGTAGTGAGCCATGAAGAATCCTCACCAATTGAGACCTAAAAGCAGGGTTATGAAGGTTATGAGGCACAAATGTCTCTAATGACAGAGTCTGAAACCAATGTTTTATCATATAAGTAACAAGGGCTAAAGTCCCAAGCAAGTCCACAATCAAAGTGCATGAAGAACCATAATGATAATCCAATCAGGTGAGAAGTGTGTGTGTGTATGGGGAGAGCAATGGATACGGAAGGAATGAATGAGGGTAGAAAAGAGGCAAAGAAAAAGGAAAACCATGACATCAAGTAAAGCAGAAGGTGGAGGAAATGCACCCTAAAACCCAAGATAGATAAGACTTGCAGATCATGGGATACCCATCCTATGAAAGAGGAGGAATATGTCACAATGTAATGAAGTCAAAGGAAAATGGTGAGAACGAGACCAAGGTGATAAGTACATCCCATATATCAGTACATGGAAGAGGTAGAAGGGTGACAGGAGTGAGACAAAGGGACAGATACATGATAAGGGAAATGGACTAGACAATTCCACACGCAATGATAAAGGGGTGTCATATCCCAAGGAAAGAGAAATGTGTGAGGGTGGATCAGAACGAATGGAAAGTTGAGAAGAGGAAAACAGGGCTGAGCCTTGAGGAGGTGAAGTAATAGAAACAAGGTTAGAATGGACTGTGAGGGGCCACCAAAGGGACCCATTACGGGGTGTCCTGAAACTGAGCAAGGACCTGAAGGAGGAGATGGAGAGGAGAACATGCATTGTAAAAAATATGGGACAGACCAGATTGAAGATTGAAGCACAGCAGACCAGAAAGGGGAAGTGGGCAAAAAAAGTGGTGTGGCAAGGCAACAAAAGAATGGAAGACCAGTGGGTGAAGAACCAATCTGTGGGTAGGACATGGTCATGTCGAGAAGACAGCTCCAGAACATGACAGGTTATGAACATATTCAAATGGCATAGGCCGAGAATCAAGTCTGAACATTCTCTTCAATATGTGAATGTAAAGGAGTAAGGAAAGAAAATTATACATTATCTACTAGGAGTGCATGTGATGGAGTAAGTAGCCACATCTGAACATCGACTATGGGTGACATTGCATGTAACAAACAATTATTTCTAAACCCTATCTCCTAATGGTATGTGAAGTATCAATTAACCAGATCTAACCATTATAGTCTATGAGGAGATATAAAGGCATAAGGAACTAGGATGAAATATGGCGTACAATATGTACATGTGAAGAAGTAATGAACTATAACAAAATAGTATTGCCTATGTGTGAAGTATGAAGGAGCGGCAGGCAAAAATGTGCACATTAGAGGGTATTCAAATTAAGAATAGCTGTAACTGTGAGAGGAGGTAACTAATCATACCAGAACAATAACTATTACCTGGTACCAGGTAGGGCAGAATGGATGAGGCATAAAAAAGTGGGAGCAAATTCAAACTCAAAGTAAATGCTGGGAGTGGCGCTAACAGGGGAGAAGAAAGGAAAAAAACAGGTAAAAGGCATATGTAAGGTAGGAAAAGTCGAGAGATATTCAGTAGGTATGAAATTACAGGATGGAAAAGTCACTCCATTTCATTCTCCTCAACTTCAGCTTCATATCTGTGAAGGGAAAAGTGTGGCAGGGATGGAAGAAGAAAGTCCAAGCAGCAACATGGATCCACCACACATTGAACGATGTTACATTACTCTTCTTACTATATTTATCAATCTAATATATGACGGCTGTCACAATCAACAGACAAGAACTTCCTAAGTTGTGGGTAACTGTGAGTGGTATTTGTACTTGCATAAACAGAAAAAGAATTCACATTAATCTGAGGATTCATATTGAAAGGGTTGAAAATACAAAGTAAAGTTGCTGAAGTAATTACTTCAACAAATCTTAGCAAAAATAAACATGACTAAGCACAACTGTGCTGAGGAAAGAATGAGTATTTTCATGTGTGAATGTAGAGGGAGCATTTGCACTAGAAGGTGTGTCATACTCTATTGGTGTAGTAGTAGCCCAAATTCACATGAATTTTAGGTGAATTTTACCAAGCTGGTGGCATGCAAATCTCTAAGGCAGAATAGTGCAACTTCAAGAGTTAATCTGTTCATAAAGGTAAGCCGACATATCAGAATTACAAAGTTTAAAATCCAATAGGAAACAAGTACTAAGAAAACCCAGAATATAATTCGATAACATTAGTTTTATTATGGTGACAACACTGTTTAAAATCTCAACTGGGAGAAGTGACCTAATGGAATGCTAGTTCATTCCTTTTTACATATCTCCCATGGCTTTTGGATGTATACATCTATGGCTTGTGTGTTATTTAAAGGATGCTTGGAGCAATTAAATGTTTTTCATGTTGCATGACATAAAAATACACTTGGTAATTTGAAACAGTATATCTTGATACACCTGCATTTTAAAAATGATATGCTGTTATTTTTTCATTTTATAAAATTTTTCTGCACACAACTCATAATTATGCATAAATGCAACCTCTGACATGACATACACCTCCTGATAATCTCAGGGTTACAACTCACTTCAACTATCTTCAAGCTGACAACATATAGTGTTTGTAACACTAGGCCAGCTGCTGAGTCAAGCATGTAAACACAGAAGGTTTAAGTTACCAATAAGTCCATTTATATAGACACATCAGAAGAACTTGACTTTGCAATAATAACCTCAAATTATGCCTACTATGTGTTAAGCTTATTCAGTTTGCTCTTGTTCCTTTGATGCATCCATACTAAAACTCTGTTCTTTAGTGGTATCTTTACATCTCAAACAACTAGGAAAATTAAACACACCACAATTTTCATTTCTTAATTCACCAAAAATATAACTATGATATATTTTAAATATCACATTGTTGTTAAAATGGTATGAAAAATTATATATAACTTATAGACATTATTTGGATAATCCATATTATCCATGTCTTTGTTGTATTAATAATTACTGTAGAATGGGTAACTTATAAGAATAACTTTTAATTCAGACAACAATGTTTTAAAATAAGACCACCTAGTTACTTTCAATATTTTTTTTCCTAAATGGATATTTATTTAGTTTTTAGATGTTATTGTTTATATATATATAATGTACTTATATACAAAAGATAATACATGAAATCTTTTATAAGATCAACTTCAAAACCAAAAATAATGAAATTATTGATACTCACTACATAGTATTTAAATTTATAACACTAGTTAACCAATGATTGAAAAATCAGAGATTACAAACTGAAAGAAAATTACCTGAGAATTTTAGCATCCTTGTATTCTGGTAGGGTTTTCAAGATAAAACAAGCAAGAGCTTCATCACAGTGGAAAGTTCCATTGTGAGTCCCAATAACCGGAACATCAGGACAAGACTTCTTATTAGGAATACAATTATCACTACCTGCATACATACTCACTCTTGATGGAAATACTGATACACGTCTTGAATCTATTAAAAAATCAAAGTAAATTATGAGGTCAATACATCTTAAAACAATGTAAAGTTCTGTTATAATTAGTGCGTAAAATATGGATTTTTTTTGGCAGTTACCATTATTTTGAGATAAAATACTGTCATATATAAATATAAAATTAAGCTTGAATTTTTTGTTTCTTTAAGAATACAAGAAAAAAGGGAGATAAGAACTTCATTCTGCCTATCTACGAGTACCCCTATATCTATCAAAACAACCAACAGTAACATCAAATCCACATCCATATAATTATCCAAAAATTTGTTAATAAATTCACACTAGAATACACCATATTATCAGTCAAACTATCAAAGTGTTCATAAGACTAAGCAAGAAATGATTATGTTAAGAGGACAAGCCTGTATCTAAGCTTCGAAAGCTTAAATCTATTACCTTAATATTTGAGTTTATGTCTTCAACCTGAAATCCCAGAACACAGAAAGACCACCCACAGGACAACTATACAAACCCATAACAATTCTGAACACTTCATTTGAGCCTAATGATGTATGTTGGTAATACTGCTGGTAATAATATTCCACAATATTACAAAATTTATCAAGACCTAAGGTCAATAGGTAATATCAACTGTCAGCAATCAGTTGTATGAACACTCACCAGTCACCAACAACAAACACAATTAATACATAATGCTGCTATTAAGTAAGGAAAATTATGACTGTTTTTGTAAACCATGTCATTGCACTCACTTGATAGCACCAGCATTCAATCAGTCAACAGTGAACATATGAAAGCATTTTAGATCATATATGACATAAATGAAATTGTAGAAAGGTTCTGTTCAAATAAATTTGTCAAATTTCTTATTAGCCTATCAGAACAACCCTAACATCACAACTAATGAAACCCCTGCAATGCTATTTCATGGTCAAAATCTATTAACACATTTGGATTTCTTTAAACCAAACCCTGGTTAAGAAAACATTATACCATCTCAGAATCCAAAAAGTTTCTGAAACTAGATTTGTAATTAATGATTCTTAAGAACTTTATTTTACTTCTGGTTTATTTTTTAAGTATATTTCACAATTATTATTACCAAATAAATTCTCCTGATGTACTTAGCAAAGTTAAAGGACCAAAATTACATCCAGTACTCCAAATAGGGCCTCAAGAGTTTGAATAAGACTTTTCCTTGTGGACTGGATGACTCTAAACTGAATCTGAATCGTCTGAAGAGTCTAACTTCAGCTGGGATTGTCACATTCACAAAAGAGGAAGATAAAAGATTAAAATGATGGTTTCCCAACTCTATAAACATCAGTTTGTTAATCATCCCTTCTGATGCACTTTACCAAAGTCTTCCTGACAGTCAAGTCACAAAACTTATTTCAGTCATGTTCCCTTCTTTTATCATTAGGTATCTTTCAAAATCTCTTACAGAAATCATATTACTCTTGTTCTCATTTTGCAGTTAACATTCCATGTAAAATGAAGTAAAAATTAAAGTTTGAGATAAAAAACACACTATATTCTGATGAAAATTCCAATAGACATAATATTAACCTCTTCTTTTAGAGATCTAAACCCAATTCTCCACATTTTTGCTAACCTTAGTGATATAATTTCTCTGAGAAGTCCAAGGACAAAAACATTTTCATTATTTCTATCTAAAATCATATAAAACTTTCCCAATCTACTAAAAAAGTTTTAATACTGTACACGATGAGTGTTCTAAGCTGTCCACTTATGTTTATAGAGGAATAGAAGAATTTCTTAAATTTTATTATTGTTCACTATGACAAGAACTTGCTTTTTGAAAGCTTGGAAAAATTTCAAGAGGGTAAAAGCTAGTGACTGTTATAAGATTTATCCAAATTTTAAATTCATAGAGACTTAACGAATATCATTCAAAAGTAGTTGACATTAATGTTTGAACAACTGCAAGTGTGATTTAACTTTTAAAAATTAAAATTCTGAGAACATACAAATGAAAGCAAAAAAGAACGTATAACAATATTTCAACAACACTATACCTACTATATCCAGTGCTAATAAGGCCTTTTGCCCAATACCAGGCTAGCTGGGATACAACAAACACAGTAGTGATCATGATGCTATTTATATTATCAAACTACTGATCAATAAATTTTATTATGTGAACTATATCAAGTGAATAAAGTGTAATTTTATCAATTTTATATGTCATTTACACATCACAATTAGGGTAAGAGTTAATAACACAATATTAGTTATGTATTTAAACATCAATTATTTATTCTTATTTTAGGGTTAAAATCAAGGGAAAAATTAATAGAACTATGGTTCAATTAATTGCCTCTGTCATGAAAATGGTGATGAACATTTATTCATAGAGAAGATTTACTGTAAACTTGTAACCTGGAATTTAACGAATAGTTCTCAACATGACTTTAGAACCCCCCAATTTTTTTTTCTACCATGAGGGAATACTCATTAATTATGTATATTTTGATAAAGTTCTGCACTAAATATTATTTATAAAGTTTGAATATTATATCACTAACGAAAATTTGTTTGTGGTTGAAAGTAAAAAGTGGTGGTAATTGGGCATTATTGTAATTGGACAAAAGTCACCAGTGGGATTCCTCGTAGGTCTGGTATGAGACTCTTATTAATTATATTCACATCATTAATTTACACACTCAATGGTACTAAGATTCTTTAGCTGGTATTGTAAAGAATATTTTTACTTCAAAGGATCCTAGTCCAGGACATAGTGCCATTGGATATTTGTGCAACTGGACTGTTGAAATAGGTACTAGGAAACCATTTTCTTTGTACACTAGAAGGCTTAGGGAAGGTCTATAGGGAGTAGAGATGTGCTTTGGACATGACAACCTTTTCGCACTGGAAACTGTGCTGCAGGGCTATTGTCAAGATGCACAGTTGTCAGAAAGAGCTTGATCAGATGAGACATGGACTGTAGTGATATTGTGAAACTCAAATTGTTTTCTTATAATGTACTCACCCTCTATATAATAATGAAATTGCCCATTTTTTCATAATATCTGTAATTATATTTGTGCACACAAGACTGACAAAATATAACATAACACAGATTCAAGAGAGAACGAAAACAAATTTTAAAATAATGTAAATAAAAAAATTGCATGCATTTTGAAGAATGTCTCTCCAACATGCTTATAGCATACAAGTGAAACCTGTGTTACACGGATCTCAAAATTCTTTCTGTCCTATGTCCGTAAAATATCAGTACACAGACCATTGAATTCTTAGTTAGGTAGTAAATAAAAGTCTTTACTTCCCATTGATACATGTATTTTGATATTGACTTTACTTTTTTTATGATAGTACTATATCCTCTCTTGTTATTAACGAATTAGTTTGAATATGTGAACTTTAATATTATAATTCTCAGATGTAGCATTATTCATTTGCAGAAGTATTTTTCTATAGTCATGCATGTGTGGAATAGTGTAAGTGATGGGATGGTTACTGTTGTTAGTTTATTTTGGTGGATACGTATTTTGATGTGAAAAGCATCATTTTGTTTATTAGTTGGTTTTGGTCAGTGGAAGAGTGACCTAGATGGGCCAAATTGCCTTCTGTTCCTTCAATATTTTCAGTAATCTTACTTAACAGATGTTCATTACAATAACAACGACTATAAAAAAAAACATTACTACAATATCATTTTTATACATACGGCTGAATTAGTTTTCATGAAAATATATAATAATTACAAGTTCCATGGGGCTGATTTAAACTGCTCCAATTAAATCCTAATAATGGTTAATAATATTGCCTTACTGGATAAAAATACACGTCCAAGGTAGAATAATCCTTCTCTCAGCATCAATGCTTGTAACTGTCTGGCTGCTACCTCAAAATATATGAACAGTCCTGTTATTAATTTACATTCTTCCTAACAGCTGCAGTACAGCAGATTTTCAAAATGTTCAATCAGAATATATTACCAAATTTAAAGTAACGATATTCTAAAACCATTATTAATAATTATAAGAATATGTGAAAGTAATCAAGTTTTGCTAATGTTATAAACAGGATTACTATGGAAGAATTCCATTTTAGAGAAATATATTTAGAAAGTTTACCTTCTCACAACAGTTGCTGGGAGGATGAAGGTTAGGAAAACTGTTGTCATAGAATATTTAATATGACTTGACACTTTCAAGCTTATGGGAACACAAAATAAAGATTAAAGAAAATACCTAGGCTTAAGTTATGCTGATGTGAATGCAATCAAAAATTAATTATTTATCAAATATTTACTGCTGTTTTTATGGCTGAAGATAAAAATGAGATTCCTTACATTTGGGTATTAATTAATGGTATTATAAAACTAATCTTAAATTGTACTAAAAAAAGATGAATACTAGTTTGGGAAATTTAGAAAAATTCAATAGTATAAGCCCCTCATCCAATTACAATTAGATTAAGGAAATTAAGGGGCTTCAACAGTTATTTTCATTTCTCATTGTTTTCCTAGATTAGCTGTTCCCATTCTGTGGTCTGCAAGTTCCCTGAAACCTAAGTACCTGACTATGATGGCTAAAACTAGATAGGTAATGAGATTTTCCAAAAAAATCAGAAATTTTGATGTAAGGAAGTACTTATCACTTTATACAAGACTTTATAATCCTTATGTTAAACAGCGTGTTCAGTTTTGGTCATCTTTAAAACAGAAAAGAATCTCATTTGTTGGAAAAAGGTACAGATAGAGAAAAATATATCAGAATGATACTAGCTGTGAAAATGCTGAGGGCAAGCTTATATAGTTAGGCCATTCTCTTTCAGTTTACTATCTCCAATCATACTGAAATTTCATCATGAGCTATTACAATGTAGTCTCGTATACGAGGATCAATTGTGCAGAACTTCAGATTCATATTTCCAATGTTAACAAAGGTATATTCTTTCAAAGATGGAGGAGGGATTAGAATTTTGAAGACTTATTTTTTTACCTTACCCATTAGAGTTGAAAGACTGTATCAGTCTGGCTGAAGTTTTGACCAACTGTCACAGTGTGTTAAAAAACAAACAAAAACCATTTGTACATAAAAAATGTAACATAGCATTATATTACCAGATCATATAAAAAATAATTTGTTGTGGCAGCAGTTAATCATTCAATATAATTGAACCTACTGTTAACATACATACGTGTCTATATTTCTAATTGGAGTTAACTTATATTTGCAAATTTACAGTAAAAAAATTAACAGGTGCCAGCAAAAAATCATAGTTTATGAACTGCACATTAGCTAACAAAACAAAAATTGTTTGAAAGATTTTCTTGAGCAAAACTGTTTAAACACCTCATACTCTGAATAGAAACTAGAGTATGCTTTTTACATATATGAATAAAATAGCTTTAATAACAAATATCTGCTACAATTATGAAGCTTTCTGTATATTAATCTCAGTTAAAAATAACATAGCATATCTTAAGTTTAAGAATATTCTATAATTTATATACATCTTGTATTCTGCTCTGCAATTTTCTTACAATGGACTAATTATTTCAGTACCAGAACTACAATAAAATATTAACTTTAGCTACAAAAGTGCACAATTTACTTCATTAGCATATCAAAAGGCTGATGATTTCATTCAATTAGATCCTCTCACTAATATATCAAGTCTGAAGTTATTAGGACTCACCAGCAAGTAAGAACAATAGTGGCACAAGCAGTGAAGATTGTAATGATTTACAAAATAGGCCTGTTACAAAAAATAGGTAAATTAAAAAAAAAAGAATAAACCATCTCACAATTTTATTCAAAAACAAAGTTTTTGGTGATGAAAGAATATAAGGTACTTAGATGAAACAATTGTAATATCATAAGTTCCAAATTCTTTGTATCATAATGATCAATTAATCTTAAGTAAATGTTACTACAAACCTTTTGAATGTGCTGTATTCTGTGTACTAACTGCTATTATTTACATTATTGTTTTTTTGAACAACTGAGATCAGTTATTTATAATTTTATGATTTGTAATTTCCCATTTCATGAATGTAGTACCTTTCTTTACTGTCCAATACATTACATGATGTCCTAGTAGGTCTAGGGTACTGATCACATACATGAAGGTAGTACAATACAGTTTAATAGGGTATATATATATATATATATATATATATACACACAACATTGAACCATGACTGCACATGTGTTTGTAAATTTATTTTTAAGGCCCATGGCTGCTACTTGTTCTGAAGTATTCCCATTTCATGGCTTGGTGTCATAACATGGCAAGGCAATAGTTTCAAAATCCTTGGGATGAACAATCAAATTTAATCTATGGCAACTGATTTTCTTATCTTTAGCAATCTTTCCTGTTTTTTTTCTTGGAATATCAAACATTGTATGGAAATTCCTTTTTGTTTTTTTACAGAGATAGGCATATTCTCTACGTCATCTAGGTTATATTAGGAATAGTTTGATTATGTTAGTTTAGGTTATGATAGGCAAGGTTTGGTTAGTATTTAACTCACCTAGTAGTACAACTAACATGTACTAGCTGTAGGACTGGCAGTAATAGTAACTTGAGTAAGCATAATATATGGATTTTGTATAAATCAAAATATACATACATACAAGTTATAAGTTGATTTATTATAAAATATAACTGATCAATACTAGTGCTACAAAACAACAAATATTATCTTGAATATGCATTAGCAATATTAATACTAATTACTATTAGTAATTAGTTAGTTAGTTTAAAAGTTAAAGTTCAGGCCCTAGGTGATATTTGCTTTTATCAGTTTTCTTCCTATGTATTACTATTAATATTACTAAGACATACTAGTGTTGATCAGTTATGATAAATCAACTTGTAACTTGTATGTATGTACATTTTAATTTTGTACAAAATCCAAAGCATGCAAAGGAAGAAAACTGATAAAAGCAACTATCATCTAGGGCCTGAACTTTAACTTCTAAAGCTAATTAACTAACTTTATCACTGTGGTACAGTGGTAAGACTAAACCAATGTCAGTATCAGAGTATGTGAATATGTACGAATCTATAGGTATAACGTTCACCAATTTATGGTTACAAGAATTTATACTTTACACCTATAAACCTGTAAGTAATAAATATAATTAGGTTTTATCTACATTACTTAATAAAAATCTTACTTTTTGGCAATTATATATATTATAGGCTAGCCTCAGTATAAGAATTTCAGCACCACATATACCTTCCCCCAATACAGAAGTAGAACTTAATACTAGCAGTCAGTGCAGAAGTACGTTCAAAAGTTGTTAAACTTCGCTATCTAGTGACAACAATATATATTTATAATTATATTTATATATTTTACACAGTTCTAAAATAAATCAGAGACGTGTCTCTAGCTTTAGAATGGTAAGTATTATTTTATTATTATTACATTAAGCTTAATTATTTTTCCTTAGTTCGATTAAGTTCAGCTGAAA